TATTTTGATTCTGTACCAATTCGTATTTTAATCCCATATTGTTTCACACATGGACCCATTTCATTCATTCATATTTAATTCATTTAATTTCGAGTGCACAATTAAGGAATTTTGCTGACATGGAATTTGCTATTTATATTTAGTAATAGAAAGTACTTATTAAAATGAGAAATATTTATTTCAAAACTGAAACCAGATATTCAGGAAGTTTCAAGCCTTCTTGATAATGCTTACACCCTTTCAAATATACAAAAGCACGTAAAATTGTCATGAATTGAGTATCTCAATACATATCATATCATGATCAAAGAGTAGCGATTTGTATCATATCAGGAGACAGTCGTATCATGACATCCCTACAATTTACCATTACTGTACTTGCCTTGTTGGGTGCCATACTTGCTTGGAGAATTACAAAAGGGGGGCGCTTAATAAAACCATACACAAAGAGTGAAATTTGTTTTCAATTTGTAGTACAGTAAACTATGGTTATTACGATTGGTTGGTTTGTTGTTTAGCGCCGCACTCAGCAATATTCCAGCTATATGACGGCGGGCTGTAAATAATCGAGTCTGGACCAGACAATCCAGTGATTAATATCATGAGCATCGATCCACGCAATTGGGATCGATGACATGCATCAACCAAGTCAGCGAGCCTGAACACTAACTCAAAGGAACCCCTAATTGTAGTTTGTTATAACCGTAGTTCGTAGTACACATATAAACAGCATATAAACAGCATGTAAACAGCATATGAACAGCATATAAGCAGTAAATGGATGGGACCCCAAAACAGTTTGTTACACCCATCAGTTCGTTATAAGCGTGTTTGTTATTAACGTAGTTAACTGTAATGAACAAGATTGGTTTGGTTTGTTGTTTAACGCCGCACTCAGCAATATTACAGCTATATGACGGCAGTCTGTAAATAATCCAGCCTGGACCAGACAATCCAGTGATTGAAAATCATGAGCATCGATCCACGCAATTGGGATTGATGACATGCCTCAACCAAGTCAGCAAACCTGACCACCCGATCCCATTAGTTGCCTTTTACGGCAAGCATGGGTTGCTGAAGACCTATTCTAGCCCGGATCTTCACGGGTGGGTGGGTGAGTGAGTGAGTGAGTGAGTGAGTGAGTGGGTGGGTGGGTGGGTGGGTGGGTGAGTGAGTGAGTGAGTGAGTGAGCGAGTTGGGTTTAACACCACTTCGACCAGTATTCCAGTTATATCATTGTGTGTCAGCTCAATACAGGAGGGTTTACCACTTCAGTGAAACCCACGAGCACAGGTATGGTGCTGACAAACTGTAAATATTTGGTCTGAGTAGGGGGACTTATAAAGATTACTTACAGATTGGTCTAGAAGTTGGCCAGGGGCGATTTTTGGAGCAGTGTTTCAATACGTTATATGTGTAAATTTACTGTAAGATAATAATGTACACTCAAATTCATCTTCCCAAGGCAAAGGGGTTAACGGACCGTAAAAGTCGAGTTTCCACCCTTGCTGAACTAGGCTGGAATCCTGAGGTTACATTTTGGCTGGACTAATGAGTCTATGCATAGTCTTAACAAAATTGCGCAACGAATTACACATTCGTTTAGTAAACAACATGGATTTCAATGTACAGATTTCAGAAAACTGCAGGATTTGCAAAGCATGTGTACTGTCAACTGAGCATCAATAGATATTTTCCAAATCTTTTCATGTTTTTAATCAAGTTGCTCAAATGATTTGATACACTTCACGATGTAAGGCCCGTTTTATTACAACATAGATCTTGATTATCGATCAGATCGTCTTGACTGGGTGCCACCATTTTGTTTGAAGCAAATGCAAGTAAGATTAGAGGTGGAATCTGATTGGTCAACAGGAGGGACATAGAAGGGACATAACTTGTAATAGCCACTGGTGACGCTACGATGGAGCCACGAAATTCCAGCGTAGTACGGCAAGGGTGGAAACTGGACTTATGCAGTAGGTTAACTCCCTTGCCTCGGGAAGATGACTCAAATTCTGCGATGTTTATGTTGACTGTGTCATCAGGAAACCTACATTTCTGTAAATGACATATTTTTGTACATACACTCCATCATCCTGGACAGGCCTGCAAAGTAAGCCTTCTACATTTCTGATTGGTATGCAGGCTAGCTCTTGCTATTTTCCCTATTTGTATGTACACCATGTATATTTTGCATTTCTATTATAATTCTGGGCATGGCAACCCCCATTTGTAATATCCAATGACATTTTGTATGCATATTACCTACCATGATAACATGTTGATTTGGTTGTTAAAGTAAACTTATTAACAATAGATTTTTTAAATATTTTATTTATGGGTGGACCCCGCCCACACACACACACACCCTTTTATTAATTCCTGTTAACAAGTGAGGTGAAATTGGACAAGGGTTGAAACATGAGTTGACCCTATGTTAATCGTTCCACAAAGCGATCTTAAAACTGTGATTGCTGTGGTTTTATGTTAAAGAATAGGACCTGAGATCTCTTTATGAAACAAAATCCAGGTTTGACATAAAAATGAAATTAAAAGGACCAAGGTTCTTAAAGGAGGCAGTAGGGTACTCTTGAGCGTGGCTTACAATAGAACAATGACTGGTTATCAATACATTTTATAAATAAATAAACATGGAACGCATCACTGCTCTGTCTACATGTAAACAACTTTCGAGTCGACTGAACCCAGTTTTCAGAGACTTAGAACAGAAGGTGAGTCTGGTCCTGACATTTTGACAACTTCCAGCTCAGCTAAACACATTGGACTAAAGGTAAATTTACAAGGTTTGGGACAAGCAGCTAAAGTCCTACCCTGGACTCCTACTTTGTTCCTGGACGAGGAGGCGACTGTGCTTGTCTAAGTAGTGACTAACGGGATCAGGTGGTCAGTCAGGCTTGCTGACCTGGTTGAAGCATGTCATCGATCCCAATTGTGTGGATCGATGCACATGATATCAATCACTGGATTGTCTGGTCCAGATGGAATATTTACAGACCGCCGTCATATAGCTGGAATATTGCTGAGTGCGGCGTAAAACAACGAACCAATCAACAACCTGGACAAGGCGTAAAGGTCCTAACAGCTGGAGTGTCACTGCTTGCCTGGTTTCTGAACTCATGCATCTATCTCAACAACTGGTTCAAACAGAATAGACACACAGCATCAGTTGTGATTGCCTTTGTTTCATATAACAAGCATCATGACAATGATAGGAGTATGAATAATGTTCTACACCTACACTTAACGACAACTTCTCACTCACTCACTTATGGTCACAATTTAGTGACTTCTGAAAATCTGGAAGGACAAGTTGGTTTTATTCTATAACTGAATTACACATGATATAGAAATTATCCAATTCTCCAATTAAAAAACATTGAAACAAGCAATTTGATGTAGTTCCAGAGAAGAGTTTGTTATCAGGCCATTATTCTTCAAATTCAATGCCATCAAGGTAACACTTACACTACACAAAAGCTCCTATTAAAGCAGGCAATCAACCTGCATTGAGAATTGGCACTTGTCCTGAAGTCCTTGCCAAACTCCCTAATAGTTAAGGTATCATAAGGACTAGTAGAAATTTGCCATTTTTAAGGTGAGGTGAAATTGGGTTTTACGTCGCGTCCAAGATTATTGCACTTATATAGCGACGTGCATGCACGTGTATGTGTGTGTGTGGCTGCTTGTACTAGTCCGGACTGATGCCGATTTATAGTGCTAGCTCACTGAGATACCATGCCGCAGTTTAACATGAATACCCCACGCAGACACAGTATACTGACTCCGAGCCGACCAGTCCTTGTTTTAGCCCCTTAATGTCGAGCGCCAGACAGGGTAACAACAAGTACCATCTTTTATCGTCTTTTGGTATGACACGGCCAGGGATCGAACCCCGGACCTTCCGCTCTCCGGGCGGACGCTCTACCACAAGACCACGGAGGCAGCCGCCATTTTTAAGGGTTTTGCTATATATTATCATTACACTAGTGGACTAAAATGTTAGTTTCTACCGCTGTCAACATATGTCATATGTGTAGCATTCTCGTTATCATATGATAAATAAGTGCATCAAACAATGTTAAACATATTCATCAACTCAAATATAAATTATACTGTCATGGAGTGTTTCCACTGATCCAACCGATGTACTGATGTACATGTCAAACACTGGTTAAAACTGCTTCAAGGATTGGACCATGCTGAGATCAGTGTTTGAACCATATGAACATATACCGCCACATCATGAAGACACATCTTTCAAACACATTCATGATTCTGCCTTTGATATTACTTCCTCAAGTCCCCAAATACTTCACAATATTTGTGTAACACATAAAGTATAGACCCCAAAGACTGAAGTGTAAAGGGAATTAAATGTTCAATTCAATGTTATCTTTGTTTACAGGTCCAACAATTCAAAGTCACCTGTGTAAACAATGAAAAATGGATATAAATATAACCCTAATTATACCTATCGAAGAAAGGTAAATAAAAAAATCCACAATCAATAGTCATAAGGTGGCAATATTATATCGTTGACGTGATGTAAAATTTTATCTTGTTCAACGACACTCACTGACTCAGTGTGTTTTAAAATGAGCACTCGTCACATACATTAAATTGACATGTCTTGTATTTGCTTCTGAAATTTCACTGACTAAACACCCTACTCTACTGTTCTCTCCTTCCATGTAAACATCCCAGGCAAATAGCAGAGAAGCAGCTTGTTTATTCGCCTTTTAAATCTATTTATAGGCTAGATCCTTTAAGTCATACACCATCGCCCTTCACACGAAAATTCATAAAATGGCTTGCAACGAAGCGTTTGCAATGGAACATTCTTACTATCGGGCATGAAAAAATGACATATATGAACCAGCCAGATTTGCACTGTTCACATTCATTAATATACTTCATCTCGTGATCTGAGGCTGGAGGTAAGGCCTAAGTTGCAAACGAATCTAACGTTGGCTCACCTTTCGAATAGCGCTCGCAATACGAGCATCAACACTGTAAGAGGCACGGTGACAAGCATATCGGACACTTGTGGTAGATAAATTCCATCATCACGGTTAACCAAATCCTTCCAGCTATGCTGCGGAGGCAACCAAAACCATTCACTCCAAAAAGTGCTCCGAATCCACTCCCACATAGCAGCCATTATTGTTTTTCTAATATCACGCGAGATGCAAGACTGTTGTCCTTACAACAGGCGATATATATATGATACACTTGGGACGTCCCGTCCAGGCAATGAGATGATGGGCGGAGTTATCGTCCTTAGTTGCAACAGCTTGGCTGTCAATCATTTAGAATGATAACAATATTACCATGCTTTGTTGTTAGTATTTCAGAGCAACCACAATTTATGTGCGTCAATTCAATGTGCAAACTGGTGTCATTATGAAATGAATCTTCATTTTGATCATGGAGTTTCAAATATTTACATTCTTCAACAATTGAACCAGTTTAAAACGTACACGATACATCATTGGATAAGACAAACTTGTCGCGAAATATAATTCTTGTCAGACAAACCATTAATTGACAGCATGAGCAACGAATAACAATCAGAGAAGTCACCCGATTTAACCACACTATCTCAATTGAAGTCGGTTCTCACGACAAACGTTGGACTGACATACGTGGCGGGTCCATAGGGATCTGGCGCGTCCATCCCTGGTTTTTTTAAGCACACTAATCGTTGAGGTATACAAACACATAAAATTAAATCATTTGAAGATTTGCTTTAATCAACAACAAAAACAACAACAATTAAATGACTAATTTTTGGCTAATATGTACATATTGTTTCCGATTATTTGCACACATAAGAAACAATTAACTTCTCGTTGTCGTGTTTTATCGTACAATAAAACACTAGAGGGAGGATAAACTACTTGCGGCTGCCCTTATTGTTTATCATTGTACGATAAAAAACACCTACTCACCTCGCATATTTTTTAAACAATGCCCAGGTCGGTGTTGCAAAACCAATACGTTGGCGTTTACCATTATCAATCTCAACCATGACTGAAACATGAATTCAAAGTTTATATATTCCTAAGTATACCTAGTCCACCTGTTGATATAAGGTTACATGCATTGAATATACATTGCCATGTTACTGTAGTGCCCCACTTGCGGAAGGCGACACAATTCGCCGTCGTCTTATCCGAGTCTCGTACCCATATTCCTGTTCATTTATGACCCCACAATATATACCTATGCTCCTCTTACCTCCCAAACCTGCAAAAAACATTTTACAAAAAAGAAAAAGTGTATTATGCAGCTACTAGTCAGCTTCTGTTTTTATTTTACATGCTAAATATGCGAATACATTTTAGAAGAGTCTCTCTTAACCCCGTAAGTTGCCAATACATATACTTTATTATGTAACAGTGTTGTAATGAATTAGGGTGAGACTGTAATAAAACGATGTCTGTCTACATTATAGACTCCGGGGTAGAATAGGTCTTCAGCAACCGTTGCTTACCGTAAAACACGACTATGCTTGTCGTAAGAGGAGACTAACGGGATCGCGTGGTCAAGCTCGCTGACTTGGTTGATGCATGTCATCGTGTCCCAATTGCGTGAATCGATGCTCATGATGTCAATCACTGGATTGTCTAGACCAGACTCGATTATTAACAGACCGCCGCCATAGAGCTTGAATATTGCTGAGTGCGACGTTAAACAACTAACCAACAAAACAAAACATTAGAGACATCTCTTTTCCTCCCGCAGCTGACAAGTCGCTTACGATATAACGTTTTTGTTTATCTTGTTAGTATCTTGAAATTTCTAGAAATAAAAATGGCCCGAAAGGTTTCCGTAGTTTGCAAAAGCACATATGTATACATAATTATATTCTTCATGCATGTGTTACACCGTTCCCAATATATAACTAATCTATATACACATTGAACAGTGTGCCAATTCGCCAGCACATTCATGATAATAGGTGCTGAATATTGGTATGATAATCGCCCACTACAGACACGTATAGAGCCCTATATACACTCGACACACAAACACCACCTCGTCGCTCATAGTAAATTGACAACGTCCGTTTTAATAATGTTTGGATGCAGCATACACGTGTAGTCATATCTCCACAGCTGCTGTAGGCTGCTATTCCCGACACTCAATATTTGTTCAGATGTTGACTTGATATTCCGACCTGTTTCATATTGAAGAAGTCTACAGGTATCATTTTCACAGTGCATAAATATGTTTAATTGGAGAGAACACTCGAACTGAAAAAGCCTGGACTTAATTAAGGAAAGAACAGTGCGTTGTTAAAAAAAATAGGTTATGGACAGAGTTGTCGGTTTTCCTTTCCCTCTAAAATGTTGAATATCCCAGTTTTTTTAAGTCTAACTTACAAAGGTTAAACTTGATTAAGATTCCAAACAAAATACCTTTCTTCTGTCTGTCTGTGTTTGACTCACGCTTGACACCTAGTTGGTTTGTTTGTTTGTTGTTTAACGCCCCACTCAGCAATATTCCATCTCTTTGACGGCGATCTGTAAATAATCGAATCTGGACCAGACAATCCAGTGATTAATATGATGAGCATCGATCCACGCAATTGAGGACCGATGACATGTATTAACCAAGTCAGCGAGCTTGACCACCCGATCCCGTTAGTCGCCTTTTACGACAAGTATAGTCGCCTTTTACAGCAAGCATGGGTTGCTGGAGACCTATTCTACCTCGGATCTTCACGGGTCTGACACTTAGTAGTTGGGTTGGGTTTAACGCCGCTTTTAACAGTATTCCAGTTATATCGTGGCGTGTCAGCTTAATGTGGGAGGGAAGCCCGAAGTGATGCAGGTCTCAGACGTTTACCACTTCGGTGAAACCCACGAGCACGGGTATGGTGCTGACAAACCTAGAAACATAATCGGGGCGAACCGGGATTCGAACCCACAATCATAGGTTCCTGGCGTGCCCAAGGGACGCAACTCTGCACAGCGGCGCCTTAGACGACTGGGACACCCGTGCCCCCCTGACACTTAGTACAACGTATTGATGTAGTAATGGAAACACGTGATAGAGGGATTTTACATTGCTTTTATCAGTTGAGAACGCGAAACGAACTGAACACGACTGCCTGTCGCTGGATGTTGGTGCAAAGTCATATAGTATGAGAGATACGTAGGCAACAGATTTAAGGCAACTTAAGTTCAGGCGTAGGGTTGCTGAAGACCTATTCTACCCCGGATCTTCACGGGTCTGCTCCGACACTATCGACAGTTACGCATCATTAAATCAATCAAATTAATCACTTTATTAACCCGTACACCGAATATGGCCCCTGGCATGACCAACCAATAATTAATACAGTTCGTTTGTCAAATAAACTGAAGATATTATCAATAGAATATCTTTACTAAAATGTGAGTTATTAAACCAGTATATTGCCAGTTATTTTTAAACGATCCTCAAGCAGTTGAATGCATGGTGTTTCTTTCCCTACCAATAATTGAACAGTATAATAACATGATCCACAAGTAGCATCGATCAACAAACAGCCTCATCTTTGGTTGTCCAGGGTGTAATATATCTATTTATCATATACTTCAGTGTGAAAGACTGAGTTTTCTGAAGTTGAGAAAAGTGAAATTTTCATTGCTGTGAACAATACACTTGATATTTCACTGTAGTGATGATAACACTTTGATGGAACTATTGTCATACAAGAGTTACTTCCCCGCAAAGTGTCTCCATTTATCGTAAGTGTCTGGCCCGGAAACATACTGTTGACTTCCTTTTCACGTTAGTTCCACATTGAAAAGGCAAAATAATGACAGATGGTCTTTTATTGAGTTTATATCGTTTCTTGCCGTTTATAATCCTGTTGAAAATGTTTCGTCATAAGCTGTAAATTTCTCATTTTACTCGTCAATCGAGACTGGTCGTTTCGCAAAACGCCATTTTTGTTACTTGAACAGCTTCCAAAGGCGGTCTCGTTGCTTTCAAGAATGTTTTTTTTTTAAAGTTGATTTTGTATATCATCATATAATCCAAACATATGATAAAGAATTTTCGGTGACCTTTAATATTTTCTTTCACATTTGTCTTTATTTTTTAAGATTTTGCAAATTCGGAACTACTTTTTAAGTCGCAAATACAAGGAGTGGTGAAACGTCCCTGCATGTCAGGTAGGGAGAAGTTACGTATTAAGGTTTAACATTTGTTATGAAAAAAAATAAATTTCAGGTAAACAACTACTCAAAAAATATATATTAAATAGGATATTCTATGTGTTTCGTGAAATATCCTGTTTCTCTCATCTGGTGACGTGAAAATGTCGCCTTTCCACCCGTCACTCGATGAGAGAAACAGGATATTTCACTGGACACATGAAATAGCCTCTATTTATTACTTGCCCGTGAAGAGATCAACCGTTTAATAACAATAACCGGTGAAGATTCCGGGGTAGAATAGGTCTTCAGCAACCCATACTTGCCGTAAAAAGGCGACTATGCTTGTCGTAAGAGACGACTAACGGGATCGGGTGGTCAGGCTCGCTAACTTCGTTGATACAGTTGCCCCTCTAGATTTTTCAAAGAAAACAGTTTTATTTGAATCAAGTTGGGGACAAGTGATACTTGATACAAAAAAGTTAACTACGGCCTTGGATCCCCATTGCGTGGATCGATGCTCATGGTATCAATCACTGGGTTGTCTGGTCCACACTCAATTATTTACAGACACACACACACACACACATATCCCTGAATCCCACGCAGCAGGTAGGAATTCAAGATCAAACATAGTTCTGCTTCATAAATTATAAAGATTATGTAACACAGTAAACCCTACATTAAGGTACATACGTATATATTGTGGGCGAACTCTATCAAACAATACTCTTCAGTTAGAAAATTTATGGGTCGAAATTTGTGGATACGGTAGAATATTGCTATCGATAAATTTTCTCTGGAATAGCCCGCAGCCGGCATGGAATCATAACCGCTTGCTGTATTTTCCATTACTTGAATTGGACCATGGTTAGAATCTGAACAGAGATGCTTCGATTGTGGCGAACACCTGTCGACTTAGCGACAAATTGTCTTTACGCTCTATTAAGTGACACGCGATCACGTGATACACAGCCAACAAATGGTCGAACGGTCGAAATATTGAACGTGGATATATATTAATTTAGATGGTTGTGATTCTGGTGGTAACATGTGCCAAGTGGCGGCGTGTTGCAGTACAACATAAACAGG